TATTCTTCTTATAATGTAACAACTTAGGTAGGTAGGGTATCTAAAAGATATCCTATACAACTTAAAGGCATATAGGAGTGCGCGTCTGTATAGAAAAGGATAAGATTCCTACACCTATAGGTCTTGTACAAAAGGACAAGAAGAACATGCCTATCCTAACTATAGGCGAGCTGTTCTCTATATATATAAGTAAGTCGGGCCTTTATTAGGCCTGACTTGGCATGGAACAATAGGCAGGCAATTCTGCCTTATTGTTACAAGAGTAGGAGCGCCTTTCCTTAGCTTCGCGATCTTAGCTATAGTAGTAGTAGCCACGCGCTTAGCTACTACACACTCTATAATAGCCTTACGCTTAGTAGTAGTGCGCTCTTCTTTAGCGGCAGCGGCTTTAGTAACTATAGCTTTAGCTGTGTAGGAGGTAATAAGGGCAGCGTAGGTAGAGTAAGCGCAAGTAGTAGGTTTTAACTTTAACTAAGACATAGGTTAGTAGGGATATAGGTATAGTTTAGATCTTTAGGGTTATATAATCTTATAACTTAGGCTATAGTAAAATTATAGTTAGGTAGATAGAGTTATAGAGCTAAGTCTAGATAATATCTACGCGCGCAAGCGTAGGCCAAACAAGGAAGGCGCGCTAGTTAGTATCTAAAGGGTAAGCTAATTTAACCCTTTAGATATACAACGCTCTAATTAGCTACACTACCTACTAACTATAAGCGTAACTATAATAATAAAAGATCTACCTATACCTAGGGGGTGTGTTATAGGAGGGATATTAACTAGATTATAGAGCATCTTAATCTAATTAATCCTAACTAATACCCCTATATAACCCACTATCTAATTAACTGCTAGCTTACTGCTAAGTGCCTAATAAAAAGCAGGAGCTCTAGCAAAGGAAGGTTTACTAATTATATACCTTCTAGTAAGGGTAGCTAAAGCTCTATATATATAAGTCCGATCGTAGTAGATATAATCTAATAATCCATCTCCTAAATCATTCCTAACCTTAGTGATCCAAATTTCCATATTAGTTAATAGGAAAGACTAGGTACTATATGAGCTAAAAGCTAAGACTACTAACTATCTAAATTATAGTCTAATACTACTAACTATAAAATTCTTATACCCTTAGTAATTCTCTAGGTATATTATTAGGGTTGCGGGGGAATATTAATAAAGTTCCTACTAATCTATCTTGCTAACCTTTCCTTAACTACACTAAAACACTATTACCCTAAATTAACTATTACTTATATATTCTCTACTTCACCTAGAAGGAGGGAAATAAAGAATAGAGGATTATTTAACCTAGCCTTAATATCTAGGGGATACTTAATAGCCTCTACTATTAATAATTCCTCTATTATAGTATCCTCTTTATACCTCTAACTTAGCCTAAGGTTAGGGGCAGCAAGTTTCCTAAATTAGGGCTGCTTGCTAATACTATAACTATCTTAACACCTACTAGTTATAGTAGTAGGGTATTAGGATATTGTGGAAATTTGGATCACTAAGGTTAGGAATGATTTAGGAGATGGATCATTAGATTGTATCTACTACGATCGTACTCATATATATAGAGCTTCAGCTACCCTTACTAGAAGGTGAATGATTGGTAAACCTTCCTTACCAGAGCTCCTGCTTTTTGTTAGGCACTTGGCAGTGAGCTGGCAGTCGATTAGATAGTGGGTCATACAGGGGTATTGATCAGGATTGATCGGATCAAGATGCTCCGTGATCCGGTTAATATCCCTCCTGCAACAGATATACATATATAAAATAACTACCCTATCTACACTAGGTGTAGACCTTTACTAGTTTCTGTATATTAAATAGGTCCTATAGGATCTAGTTAGGATATACTATTAGTAGTTTAGTAAGTGCACTTAAGAAGGCTACTACTTATACTATATTTATATCACTATCCTAATATAAAGGAAAACTTCTACTAGGGTTCCTTAGACTTACTAGCCTAAAGAAAGCCTAGTTCTAGAGAGGCTATTTTAATATCTACTATAATTATCTTATATTCCTCTATAGCTACATTATAGTTTGTCCTAGAGACTCCCCTATTAAGGGAAACTAAGCGTATAAAGCTCTTAAGAGATTACTAAAGTTATAAAAGCTTCTATTTATTATCCTAGTATAAACCTCCTAACTATATAAGAAGCTATACAAAATTTATAAAGAACTCTATAAAAGGCTAATTTTAGCCCTAATATAAGTATTCTAACGTAACTTAGGCGCGCTCCTGCCTATAATAGTTACTATAATAGAACACTAGGTAGTTAAGAAACCTGCTTATATCCTAATACCTATATACACTATACTTAAAGTATAGTGCTATAGCGCGCTAGACTATAGGTAATAACTAGGACTAAATATATATAAACCTTGCCTCCTTATCCCTAATAAAGACCTTATCTATACGTAGTTTAAACTCTATAGTTATTTACTAGGAGGAGAAGTTTGCCTTAGTACTATTATATAGTAAGCTAACTAGGAAGGGTTTGTAATATAAGGTAGGAGGGGGTAGAGGTAGTATATTATTAAACCTAGCAGGCTTAGAGGAGGGTTAGGATAGAATCTAATTACGTATTTCCTTATTCTATTAACGTAGTATAGCTATTATAGTAGAGTCTTAAGCCTATTATTCTATTAATATATAGACCTGCTATATTAGCCTTTCTACTATATTAGGTTGCACCTAGTTATTCTAAATATCTAGCGCGTCTATCTCTTATTACTATTATAGTATATTTAGAAGAAGATACTAAAATATTATAGACTAGCCTTAAGGGAGAATATCATAAGTGTTAATAATAGTATTTATTATCTTAAAGGAGAGGTAAGCCCTCTACAACTTTTTATAGGTGTGTAGTGTTTTTGCTTAGTAGTAGTAGTGTTAGACTTGGTCCGTCTTGTGTTAGGCCCAGGCTTAGGCATAAGCCCAAGCCCTTCACAACAAGGTCCTTTAGAGCTTAATCTTATGTTGTTCTCTTAGAGCAGTAATAAGTAGATCTTAGTAACCTGTAGGAGGTAATAAGTTAGCTCTCCTATTACTAACTTTAAATAATTCTTTAAAATATAGTTTATCCCTAATCTAGTAAGATCCTAGTAGATAGAGCTTTAAGATAGTCTTATACTATAAGCTATCCTTTAATATTAGGAATATTGTATACCTTAGCTTGCGTATATAGGATTATCTACTCCTTCTACTAGTAATTAGTGTCTTAGCTACTTATCTTTACCTTAGCAAGATAAGCTTTATACTATAATCTTGCTAGTGTTACAGCCCTTAAATTAGTTAGCGCTAGGGTATTACAGAGCTCTTAGATTAGTACTTAAATTGTTACTCTGCCTTAATTAATAAGCCCTATATAGGCTAGGGTAAGGATCCCTTAATCTAGTATATTATTAGCCTATATAAAAAGATTCTAGATTACTAATAACTTTAATGCTGTAGAAATCTAGATCACTAAGTTCAGGAATGATTTGGGAGATGGATTATTAGATTGTATCTACTACGATCGGACTTATATATATAGAGCTTCAGCTACCCTTACTAGAAGGTGAATAATTAGTAAACCTTCCTTACCAGAGCTCCTGCCTTTTGTTAGGCTCTTGGCAGTGAGCTGGCAGTTGATCAGATAGTGGGTCATGCAGGGGTATTAATCAGGATTAATCGGGATTGATCGGGATCAAGATGCTCCATAATCTAGTTGTTATCCCTCCTGCAACAAATACCTAATCTAATAAGCAAGCTTAGTACTAGGCTATTTAGAGCTTATACTACTCGCTTATTATATTAGATACTATAATACCTATTAGCATGCTAGGCTTAATAGCTCTATTCTTTAAGTGGTTTTTAGTATCTAGAGTATTAGGGTCTACCTCTACCTAGATCCCTTTAGTTAGGGCATGGTATCTAAATTAAATATACTAGGTGGGCTAAATAGTTAATCTAGTAAGTAGGATATCCCCCTTTAGGATTTAGTTGCTTATAGTAGAAAAGTAATAAGTAAGCTTCTACTTAAGAAATAGTGCAGAAAGATAGAGCTTGCTAGCTTAGTAATTAAGTTAAGTAGTACGCTTAGATAGACAGGATATTCTTTGATAAGGTAAAGTGTAATCTAGGCTTATAAGTATAGAAATTTAGATTACTAAGGTTAGGAATAATTTAGGAGATAGATTATTAGATTATCTCTACTATAATTAGACTTATATAAATAGAGCTTTAGCTACCCTTACTAGAAGGTAAATAATTAGTAAACCTTCTTTACTAGAGCTCCTGCTTTTATTAGGCACTTGGCAGTAAGCTAGCAGTTAATTAGATAGTGGGTCATACAGGGTATTAACCAGGATTGATCTGGATTGATCGGGATCAAGATGCTCCGTGATCCGGTTGTTATCCCTCCTGCAACGGCAAATGATATTCGTCCGGGTCACAATAAGCTAAACGTCCGGGTCACAAGCCTACTAAACCTATATTAGCGCTTGGCGTAATTTATACAGCTAGGGTTAGAGTTAGTTCGAGTAAGGGTGTACTAGTAGGTAGGGTTAGGTTAGTTAGGGTTAGGGTTAGGGTAAGGGTCCTAGAGATATATTTAAAGAAAACCTTATTCCCTAGTATAATACATGCTAAGTATACGCCAAGCACTAATTTAGGTTTAGCAGGCTTGTGACCCGGACGTTTAGCTTATTGTGACCCAGACGAATATCATTTGCCTCCTGCAACACCTAGTTACTACCCTAGCTATCTCGTTAGTCTTTTATAGGTGATTTTATTATGCTTAACGTTGTACCTATAAATAGCAATAACCTTTCTTCTAAACAAAACTTACTACTAAGGGATGTCATAATGTCGCAATACAATATCTCATCAATATCCCACCATGCATATCAACTTATTAGGGTGGGGTAACAGTGTTCACTTTTGCCCCATTCTCGGTTTGCGACACATAATTTAAATATTGAGGCTATTATGGCCTATTAATTTAGGCTGTAGGGGGCTTGTTGCCATCTGCAGGGGGCTTATCGTCTTTAGGTGGCTTAGGACCATCTTGTGGATAAAAAGAGCATGCTCCTTTCTCAGCACTCGTAGTCCTGCTGCCTTTTGGACAGCAAGACGCCCATTCACCAAGGTCCTGGGCCGTTTGCAATAAAGGGTTACCCCTAAAGTAGCATCCCTCGTCTGTCATTTTTCCAACAACATTTAGAGTACGTATTTTTGTGCCTTTGCAGCAGCGGTTTGTCGCATCAGGAACAGGCATAAATCCGTTCCTATCGTTATTGCAGTTACAATAAAGTGGCATTGTGTCCATGGCCTAATATAATGTTAGCATAAACTTTTCCCTAGTACATGCAAGTCTAGGATATAAAAAGCGAGTAAGAAAATTAGGGTTACTTGCATAGCTAGAACCAGCAAGGAAAAGAAGGGTGAAAAAGGTAGCGTCCCTCATGGTTATAGATGTGGTAGTGAGGTAAAACAAGTTGTTCTTTGTAGAGGTTGTGAATTTTTAACGCGAAATAGTTGGTACAAGATATAATATAGGATTTCGTAGTATCTATAACAATAGCGTGATAAATAAAAGTCTAGGTGTACATAAAGGATATAGGTGGCTCGAACCAATATCGTCATTATATAGAATGTATTAATCTTACTTATCTTCCTATTAGTAAGGAGTGTCTAATCTAGCAAGATTACCTATCTAGTAAGCTTACTTATCTAGTTAGGATTCCCTTGTCTAACAAGATTATCTATCTAGTAAGCTTATTTATTGAGTAAGGATTACATCATCTAGTAAGATTATCTATCTACTAAGCGTATTGTTGCAGGAGGGATAACAACCAGATCACGGAGCATCTTGATCCGATCAATGCCGATCAATGCCGATCAATGCCGATCAATCCTAATCAATACTCCTGCATGACCCACTATCTGATCAACTGCCAGCTCACTACTAAGTGCCTAACAAAGGCAGGAGCTCTAGTAAGGAAGGTTTACTAATTATACACCTTCTAGTAAGGGTAGCTAAAGCTTTATATATATAAGTCCGATCGTAGTAGAGATAATCTAATCATCCATCTCCCAAATTATTCCTGACCTTACTGATCCAAATTTCCACACTTATTTATCTAGTAAGTACTCCCTTGTCTAACAAGATTATCTATCTAGTAAGCTTATTTATTGAGGAAGGATTACATTATCTAGTAAAATTACCTATCTACTAAGCTTTCTTATCTAGTAAGGATTATCTTATCTAGTAAGGATTATCGTATCTAGTAAGGATTATCTTATCTAGTAAGGACTCCCTTGTCTAGTATGATTATCTATCTAGTAAGCTTACCTATCTAGTAAGGACTCCCTTGTCTAGTAAGCTTGTCTATTTGGTACGTTTATTTATCTAGTAAGGATTGCGTTATCTAGTAAGATTACTAATCTAGTAAGCTTACATATCTAGCATGTATTTCTATATCTAGTTAGATAGCTTATATATTTAGCTTGCTTATATATCTAGCTTATTTGTCTAGTATTAAATAATATTCCTCTAGGTTACAATTAGCTAAATATCTAGGTTACAAGCCTTACTATACCTAAATTACTTAGTATCCTGCACTTAGTAACTTAGTTCTACTAGGGATGCCGCTAGATAGCCCGTCACTAGTATTTATAGCATTGTGTCTACTATAGTAAAAAATTGTTTACTGTAGAATGGTACGCTAGAGGTTTACTATATAGGTGTAAACTAACCTTATGTATAACTATAAATAGGTTTAAAGTAGTTGTTTACTTTTATTATAGGTAGTTTAAATTAAGTATAAAAAGTAGTTTTATATCTATTATACGCTATAATACCTAACTAAGACTAAAAGGGGTAGAGAAGATTAGCTTTACGCTATACACACATATAACATAGTAATAAGTCATGATATTTTTACTAATAGGAGGTGGTGATAATAGAGGTAGTAATAGAGGTGGTGATAATACAGCTAGTGATAGAGGTGGTGATAGAGGTGGTGATAGAGGTGGTGATAGAGGTGGTGGAGGTGGTGGAGGTGGTGATAGAGGTGGTGGTAGAGGTGGTGGTAGAGGTGGTGGTAGAGGTGGTAGTAGAGGTAGTAGTAGAGGTAGTAGAGGTGGTGGATGTAGTGGAGGTAGTAGAGGTAGTAGAGGTAGTGGTAGAGGTGGTAATAGAGGCGGTAAAGAAGATTAAAGAAAGGAGGCGTAAAATACTTAAATAGTTAGTAGGAAACTAGTTATTACTAATACGAGTAGATTAATAGAAGGAGAAATAAAAGTAGTTTACTTTTATAGAATATATAGAATAATAAACCCTATTTAGGTTTACTTCTTGTACTTAAACTACTTTGTAGTCTACTTTAGATAAATATAGCTACTATAAACTAGTTTTGTACTATACACTAAAACCAGTTTACAGTAGCTATATTTATCTAAAGTAGACCACGAAGTAGTTTAAGTACAAGAAGTAACCCTAAATAGGGTTTACTATACTATATATTTAACAAAGTGTTGCAGGAGGGATATTAACTAGATCACGGTGTAACAACTTAGGTAGGTAGGGCATCTAAAAGGTATCCTATACAACTTAAAGGCATATAGGAGTGCGCGTCTGTACAGAAAAGGATAAGATTCCTACACCTATAGGTCTTGTACGAAAGGACAAGAAGAATATACCTATCCTAACTATAGGCAAGCTGTTCTCTATATATATTAGTAAGTTAGGCCTTTATTAGGCCTAACTTGGCATAGAACAATAGGCAGGCAATTCTGCCTTATTATTACACTACCCCCTCCTATAGAGAAAGGATAGTCCCTATCCTTAGGATTAGGTTTAGATCCCTTATTAAAGAAGAGCTTTTTGCAAAATAAATCCACCTTTACCTCTGCCTTTACCTTCACTTCTTCTTCCTAGGGCACAGACCCCTATCCCTAGCCTGCATATAACTAGCCCTCTACCTACTAACTTTTATATTCCTATATCCCTAATTTTTTAAATATTTAACCTAATCTATCTAAAATCTAGTAAGTATTTAATTAATATAATTAAATAGTTGCTAATCTAAATTAGAACCTTTAGCTATGCTAGTACTAGTACTAGTAGGAGTCCTTCCTGTTGCTTATCGCGCTCTCTATATAAGGGCAGTTAGGGCTCTAGCTAGGGGCAGGTTTAATAATTTTAATTTTAAGTTAAAGAATTCTAAGAAGTGCTAGTACTGTATCTCCTAGAATAAGTATTATAATCTAGTAAGTATCTAAGTCTAATAGGGTTCCTTTACTAATTCTAGCAGATTCCTTCTTTTATTAGCCTAGAGTACTCTGCCCTTAGGGGTGCTCTAGATAAGTACTATAGCCTAGTAGTAAACCCTGCTAAAGGGGATAAGGATAAGGAAGCTATAGTTGCTTATTAGAAGGATATTAAGTAGTTTAAGGCTGCTATTTAAGAAACCACCTAAAACCTAGCTAAGTGCGTTACTATTACTAATACTTAGACTAAGGGTATAGAAGCTGCTAAAATCCTTATAGCTACCTATTATACTGCTATATCTAATTTATATTAGCTTTAGAATAGTATCTATAAGATAGTATTAGTAGTTAGGGGCTTAATAAGGGCTATTAACAAACTTAAGGAGGAATTAGCACTAAATTAGGAGGCAACTTTCCTAGTATAGGCTAAGATAAAAGCGTTCTACAAGAAGGAGTCTAAATTAGTCCTAGCCCCTACCCCTGCTCCCGCACCTGCTCCCGCACTAGTTATCTAGAAGCTAGCTAAGAAGGGTAGTCTAGGTACTATCTTAGCTAATACAGAGTCTAAACTAGGTTCTAATAGAGAGATAGATATAGAATAAAGAGGTTTCCTAGGGGTAGTGTCCTAGGAACCTTAAGGGTTCTAGGTTAGTTCTAAATAGGATATAATAATAAATAGCAACAAGAATAATAGTAATAGATAGTAGTTAATAGATAATACGTAGCTAAATAGGATATAAATTAGTTCTAATATTAGGTATAATTATTGTGAAGTAATATTAGATCCTCCTTGCCCTTTTCCTAGGCTTAAATCTATTTTAGTAAGCTGCGTAGGGGACCTAGCTAATTTAGATACTATTAGTAGAATGCCTATAATTTATAGGGAGCACCTATAAAGTTAGAGGTAGGATACTAAATAGGATTAGGATTATATCTCACCTACTTAACCTTATATTTTAGATTAGATTAATATAATTTGCTAGCTAGGATTTCTTCCACCTCCTATTCCTCTACACCTTGTATAGGGGTACTAGGGGGTTTTAGAGCCTCTTATCTAGGTAATAGGTCTTAGGGATCTTTGCATAGTATATTAGGAGAGAAAACGTTATAGATCTTAGAACTAGGTAGTAATTAGAGGCGATACGCGTTTCCTACTTATTCTAATACCTTAAAGGGACCTTCCTAGTATTTAGATAGTTTTTAGCTAGGTTATAAAATAGCAAGATTAGTAGTAGATAGATAAACATAGTTACTAACCTTCTAGTTAACTAGATAGTTATAGTAATTAGTAGAGGAGCGCATTTAGTCTTAAGCTCTTTCTATATTTTCTTTAGTAATCTTCTAGGCGTTATATATCTAAGTAGCAAGGGATAAGGCGTCCTTATAGTTTAGTTTCTCTAGTATAGTAGATAGGGTCTTTTCTAGTTTCTAATACTAACTTTGCTTTAGTAAGGAACTAAAGAGGACCTAATATAGAGCTATGCTAATAGATAAATATAGAAGAGTACTTTAAATATAGTCTATTATAGGTAGTAGGTTACTCTAGTTATCTTAGTAATAGGATACAAAAGGCCTTAGTCTCTAATTAATATACTTATTTATAATCTTAGTTTATCTATTAGTTTATTTATAGTAGGTAGTAGAGAGCTTAACTTTAGTGCCTATAATCTAACAGAACTTAGACTAGAAACTAGATACAAACTAAGGGCCTTAATTAGAAATAATAGTATCTAGAGTGTGTCTAAATTAGTACACCTACTAAATAAATAAGGTAGCTATACCTTAGGTGTCTATAGTTTTATAGTAAGGGATAGTAATAGCTTGCTTTAATAGGTAATTAATAATAACTATAATCTAATTGTAACCACGTTAATCCTAGGGAAAATCCTTAAAATTAATGCACAGGTGTTGCATTAGTAGACTAGGGATAGG